TTTTAACTGTGCTCTACCAAATCTTCTTTTGCTGCTGAATGGTTGATCCCTTAATAGCTTCTTACACAGATTTTATAGATTTCTGGTTACTTTTAGTTATTAAAACTTAGTCTGTCCAGTTTAAAACTCTGATCTCAAATTCATTTCAGAACTATATGCTGGCCCTGTGACAGGTGAGACCTTGAGGGACTGGAATGAGTTGAGGGGGCATGATCTGCTCTTTGACTCTTCTTTCTGTCCCAGCACTTTGAGGTGGGGGTTGGAAGGATAAGGAGGGGAGCTGTTACACCCTTCCTCTGGGTCTGGCTTCCTCAGTAGTGGGGTGGGGAGACTGCGATAGCAGAGGCAGACATCTTACCTAACTGATAGTCCATCCGTGATGGGCAGGGGACATGTCCCTTATCCTGGTTTACTCTCGTTCCCTCTGCTGCCAGTGGCCTCTGTTGATGTGGTAGTCTGTGCAAACGGTGTGCGGTTCTTTCAGGGGCAATATTTGGCCTTTAGCTCCCTCCATCACCGAGAGTTCTGTCTCCTTCTGGCTCTATCAGTTGTCCGTGCCCTCAGGCCTCTTCAGAATGGAATATCCTCAAGCTTGGCATCTACTGCCTTCTCAACCTGTTATGGTCTTTCATATGGAGTCTTTCTTGTGTGTGTGTGTGTTTATTTATTTATTTGTTTATTGAGGTATAGTCAGTTTACAATGTTGTGTCAGCATAATGCTTCAGTCATATGTGAATATACATATATTATTCTTTTCACCATAGGTTACTACAAGATATTGAATATAGTTCCCTGTGCTATACACTATGAACTTGTTTATCAATTTTATATGTACTAGTTAGTATCTGCAACTCTCAAACTCCCAATTTATCCCTTCCCAGCCCCTTTCCCTACTGGTAACTGTAAGTTTGTTCTCTATGTCTATGAGTCTGTTTCTGTTTTGTAAGTTTGTTTCTCTCTCTTTGTTTTTAGATTCCATATATAAGTGATGTCATATGGTATTTTTCTTTCTCTTTCTGGCTTATCTCACTTAGAATGACAATCTCCATGTCCATCCATGTTGCTGCAAATGGCATTATTTTATTATTTTTTATGACTGAGTAGTATTCCATGGCATAAATATACCACTTCTTTATCCAGTCATCTGTTGATGGACATTTAGATTGTTTCCATGTCTTAGCTATTGTAAATAGTGCTGCTATAAACATTGGGGTGCATGTATCTTTTCAATTTAGAGTTCTCTCAGGATATATGCCAGGAGTAGGGTTGCTAGATCATATTGTAAGTCTATTTTAAGTCTTTTGAGGACTCTCCATACTGTTTTCCATAACGGCTGCACCAAACTACATTCCCACCAGTGTAGGAGGGTTCCCTTTTCTCCACACCCTCGCCAGCATTTATGGTTTGTGGACTTTTGAATGATGGCTCTTCTGACTGGTGTGAGGTGATACCTCATTGTAGTTTTGATTTGCATTTTTCTGATAATTAACGATATTGAGTATTTTTTCATGTGCCTGTTGTCCATTTGTCTTCATTGGAGAATTGCTTGTTTAGGTTTTTTGCCCATTTTTGGACTGGGTTGTTTGTTTTTTTCTTATTAAGTTGTATAAGCTGTTTATATGTTCTGGAAATTAAGCCTTTGTCGGTTGCATCATTTGCAAGTATTTTCTCCCATTCGATAGGTTGTCTTTCTGTTTTGCTTATGGTTTCCTTTGCTGTGCAAAATCTTGTAAGTTTAATTAGGTACCATTTGTTTATTTCTGCCCTTATTTCTATTGCCTGGGTAGACTGCCCTAGGAGAACATTGCTTAGATTTATGTCAGATAATGTTTTGTCTATGTTTTCTTCTAAGAGGTTTATAGTATCTTGTCTTATGTTTAAGTCCTTAAGCCGTTTTGAGTTTATTTTTGTGTATGGTGTGAGGGAGCGTTCTAACTTCATTGATTTATATGCTGCTGTCCAGTTATCGCAACACCACTTGCTGAAGAGACTATCTTTACCCTGTTGTATATTCTTGCCTCCTTTGTCGAAGATTAATTGACCAATGGTCTGTGGGTTTATTTCTGGACTCTATTCTGTTCCATTGATCCATATGTCTTTTTTTGTGCCAATACCACGCTGTTTTGATTACTGCACCTTTGTAGTAATGTATCTGAAGTCTGGGTTATGCCTCCAGCTTTGTTCTTTTTCTTCAGTTTTTGGGAATTCTGGGTCTTTTGTGATTCCATATAAATTTTAGGATTATTTGTTCTAGTTCTATGAAAAATGTCCTGGGTAATTTGATATGGACCACATTAAATTGTAGGTTGCTTAAGGTAGTATGGCCATTGTAATCAAGATAATTCATGAAAGAGAATTTTTAATGCTGGCTTTCTTCTCTTTTGATTGCTAGAATTTATTCTCTGCGTGAGCCCCAGACACCCACTAAGGTTATTATACTTTCAGAAACAGAAGAGGAAAGTCTAATACTCAATAAAGGGTAAGTTTTTATTTGTGTCATGAAATTGTAAAAATTAGTTTGTTGCAATTATAGATGCAGTTTTAACAGAGATTGGAAGGGTTTCCTGAGGTGACTTTAGCATGTTTTTGGTAATATGAGAAATAAGCAAAAATAGGCAATGTGAATAGGTAACAAGAAGTTAGAAATCTCAATATCATTACTAGCTTGGTCTTTTTTTAAGAAAGTGTAAAAATGTGAATAGCTGAAATGTATTCCCTGTTGTATCTTGAATAAGAGAATGAACTAAACATTGCAAAATTACAGAAAAGGTGAAAGGCAAATGTTGGGCTGGAGGCCTGCAGGTGTTCACTCAGTGTAGACGGGCAGGTGCTGGACCCGCAGACCAGCATCTGGTGCCCCAGAGCCCCTGGGACTCTCCTGTGGCCCTGGCTTCTTTTATGTTTTCTTACCTACTACAGGGGCGAGTTCCTGGCTGCTTTGACCACTAACAGAATCACCCTTTGAACTCACAATCCCCATTCCTCTGGCCTCCTGATCAGTCTTTCTGGTGATTACTACACAGGATCACCCACAGTGTGTGATGTAGAGTGAAGCTTTTAGTAGCAGTATTCCTAGAAATTCCATTTAGTTCTTTTCACGTCTCTGTAGTGGTCATATCTAATAGTCTTATTTATTTTTGTTTTTCTAACACTTATTCCTTTGAATATTTTATATATAGCTATTCTGTATGTTACTGTTTAAATATCTGAAGTCCTGGGGAGGTGGGGATCAAATCTGTGTTTGTTCTTCCTCCTGCCCCGCAATCATGGTCACTTCCTCCTGTGATTGCTGATCTCTCATTGTGAACTTATGTTTACTTGATCTTAATGTTTGGGAATGTTGAGAGCCTGAGTTGAGGGTGTGTGTTCCTCCAGAGAGGAATTTCATCTTCTGGTAGGACTCAGCAGTTGCCACTGACCTTGGGACCACTTTAATTCTCTCTGATAGTCCCAGAACTGAAAGCTGCAGTTAAATGATTTTCATGTCTTATACCATCAGCTTCTTAAACTCCAATCCATCCGTATCCATGATGGGGAAATACCTCCCTCTGAGAGCTGAGAGGTCCTCTTCTGGTGTCAGGGCGTCTTCTCCCCCGCAGTGTGTTTCCATAGCTTACCAGCCTCCTTTGCCAGGCACAGTGTCTGGTTGAGAAGCAGTAGAGCAAGTGCCGTTGTTAAGCTTTGGCTCTGGCGTCGGCACCTGTGTTGTAATCTCAGCTCCACCACTTGTCAGCTGTGGCATCTGGGCAAGTTATTCAGCTGCACTGAGCCTCATTGTCATCACTGTACATTCCAGAAACATAGAAAGTAGTGCCATTTACTAGGATTATTGTACAGAATAAATGAGATCATGCATGAAAAGTGCTTAGTATGGCACAGAGCAGGTACTCATCAACTGACACCTACTATCATTAGTAGAAATATTATTTATTAAATTCCAGTTAAGTTCAGGTCTCTTTAAAATAACTTCTGTGTCTATTTATTTCTATTCATTGTCTTAATTTTGTAGTTTAGCTCAGGTAGTTCTTTTATTCTGGATGTTGGGATTCCTTATTGTATGCCTCCTGATACCATATACCTTTCCATGTGATAAAGAAACTAAGGTATGGTACTTGTAACACCTTGGAATGATGTTGATTCTCTCAATTGTATGAAATTACGACTTTATTTTAATTATTCATTAACCTAGTATTAAACTGAAAGCTTTTTGGGAAACCAATTATACTAAATTTTAGAATATAAAAACAGTGTGTTTTATCATTTGTCTTTCCTTATTATAAGATAATGTATATTTGTTGTAGATAATTGGGAGAAGTATTAAGAAGAAAATGAAATAGTTTAAAATTTCCCGTAGTTTATCCTCAATAGAACAACCAGAGTGCTGCTTTCAGTATAAGTCAGATCATTCTGCCTCTCTGCTCTCCGCACGCCATTGATTTCCCAGAGTCTTTGCTCTGACCTGCAAGGGCCTCCAGGTCTGCCCCTGACTGCGCCCCTCCAGCTCCGCTCTAGCCTCGGCCCTGGCTCTGAGCTCCAGCCTCCTTTCCGTTCCTCAGACAACTTCTGCCGCCTCCCCTCCTCGAGTCTCTGCCTGTGTCCTTTCCTCTGCCTGAACTACTCCTGCTCCACAGAACCACATGCTTGCTCCCTTCCTTCTTCCTTCTAATTTTTGCTCCAATATCACCTTGTCAGAGTTTCCCAGACCACCTGAAGTAACACCTCCATCACTACTCTCTTACCCTACTTTATTTTTCTCCACAACATCATTGTCTGACTTTGTGTTACGTGTTTATTTCTTCTCTCTTTCTCTCTCAGTAGAGGGCAGGGCCTTTGTTTAATTCAGTGACGTAGTCCCAGAACCTACAACTGTGCCTGGCATAGAGTAGGTACTTAGTAAATATTTGTGGAATGAATGCATCCTACCACTGAGATATTGATGTCTTCATGTGTGTTCTTCCTGTTTCTTTCTGTGTTTATGCATGTCTACATTTTTACTGTTTTTGTGTCTGTATATTGCAACTGTTTAAAATGACAGGTGTTCTGTATAATTTTGTGGCCTGCTTCTTTCATTTACTTTTGTGAGAATTTTCCAATGTTGTTTAACATTCTTCATAATAATAATTTTTGTCTTCTCACTCCATTGAATATAAATTCTGTCCCCACCTACTGTTATTGGACATTTTATTTTTGTTTTCAACCAGTTGGTTTTTAAATCTCTTTTCAGAAGGGCCTACACCGCATCTCTAGGAGAGACAGCAGTTGCATTTGACTTTGGGCCATTGTCAGCAGTCCCGAAGAACGTATTTGGACAAAAAGGCAAAGATGAAGTAGTGGCATTCCCCCTGTACATCTTGTACGAGAATGGGGAGACGTTCCTTACGTATGTTAGCCTGTTGCACAGGTGAGCTGAGGGCGAACACAGTTGCCAGTCAGCCACACAGTCACAGGGGTGAACGCTGATACACTTACAGCCATTCTGTTTTTATGTATAGTAGTCAGTAAATTACATGAGATATTCAACATTTTATTATAAAGTCAGCTTTGTATTAGATGACTTTGCCCAACTGTAGGCTAATGTAAGTGTTCTGAGCATATTTAAGGTAGGCTAGGGTAAGCTATGATGTTTGGTAGGTAAGGTGTATTAAATGCATTTTCAACTTAAAATATTTTTACCTTAGCTATGGGTTTATTGGGACATAACCCCATCGTATGTCAAGGAAGATCTGTATCATGTATCCTGTCTGAGCACAGCACCATGGGGATGGTTAGATATGGTAGTCCGGTATCTTACGTCCCAGTTGTGGGAAAAAGACATACAAACCATGAAAAGGTAATATCTGTACTACTTCAGTGGTACACAGTAGGGCCAGAGGAAGGAGAGACATTCTGACTGAAGAAGTTTAGGAGATTTTCATGGAAAAGGACTGATGTTATATGGGACTTAAGGTTCTAATGCAGGATTAAATGAAGCATCGAGGAAGGGTAAGACCATCTTAGTCAGAAGGGTAGCATGAAGTTGAGTATGAAAACAAGCAAGGGCAAGTGCCACTCAAAGTTCAGTGATTAGACCCTGGGAGCTACAGCAGAAGATTCAGGCAGGGAGCATTTAATGAAAAACCTGGGAAGTTTCTGTCCAGGGAAAGTTTTGGGGAGTTAAATACCTAGTTAAGGAATATGGAGTCTTTTCTGCAGGACTAGGGTAGTAGGAAGCCAGGGATGGTTTCTAAACAGGAGAAAAATGAAACACCAGGTTAGGAAAGGGACTGGGGCAGAGAGACTTTTAAAGCAGCTGTCCCAAAATTTAGTTTAAGGTCTGTGAGAGTTTGAACTAGGGCAGTAATGCAAAGGGAGAAGTGAGCATCGTAAATACTACAGAGGAGGGATTAGTAAGACTTAGTTACTGTTTAGATGAAGGAGTGAGCCATTAACAGAAATAATGAGATCAGGAAGGGCAACTTGTTTGGAAATATAGGACTAGAGAGAAGATGAAGGTAAAATAAAGAAATAATCATCTGTTATGGTGAGTTAGAGTCAATAGAGCATAAGAATTTTGGGAAAGTTTGTAACTTGAAAGGCATACAGCCCAAGTCTGAACGTTGTAATTTATTCATTTATAACCAACTCCGCAGGTATTTATTCAGGCTCACTATGTGGCAGAATGTGGGAATACGAGATTGAAGGCAAAGTCCCTGCTGTGTGGTTGATTTCTCATCTACCAGAAAGTCACACAGCAAACTAATTACTGTAGTGCGGTGTGATGTGCTCAGGGCATCATAGGGTCACCGGGAGTGGGACAGAGTAAGTGCTTAGCCTGTCTGTCTGGGAAGACTGAGACTATCCAGAAGCTTGGAACTTGAAGAACTGACAAGGTAGAAACAGGAGCAGGAGAGGATACAAAATGGAAAAGATAAGAAAGATGAAGGAGCTTGATAGATTGCAGAATGGCGAGGGTTCGCGCCTCAGTCCCGCTCTCCTGGACAGAGTGTTCTCTGCCTCCCACACACCAGCTCTCTCAGAGGGCTGTTGAGGTAACATTATTACCCTCCCTACCCTTCCTCCCAGACTGCTTGGCCTCATTTGCCTACCTAGTAACGTTGGCCCCAAACCTGAAAGTCATCTTCTGCATCCTCTTATGTACAGTCTTGTCTCAAAATTCTATTGATTTTACCATGAAAATGTCTTGAATGTATACGCCCTTCTCTCCATACCCCATCCTTGCCTCAGACCCTCATCATCTGCCTAGATCATTCTCCTCTTAAATAGTTGCCCTGAATCCCATTTTGGTCCCCTCTGTGTCACCCTCCTCTCTACTACCAGATTAGTCTTAGTAGAGTGAAGCTCCATCACTCTTGATTTAACCCTCTAGTGACACGCAGTCACCCAGCAGATAGACTCCGAGCACTTGAGCATGGCACGTGAGACCGCCTGCTTCATAAGCCAGCCCTGAATATCTGTCCAACTACTTTTTTATTGCCTTAGACTTTGTACTTTGCCTCCCATCATACTGAGCTAAGTTTCCTTCCTGTTAATTCCTGGTCTTTCATTCCTCCGGAACTTGGCATATGCTGCCCCCTAGCCGAGATGCTCACTGCCCCTTCCCAGAATGTACTTTCCCATTGACCTTATTTTTGATACCTTTCTTACACACCTACTGTCTTTGTACGTTTTGGTGTTCCTTTGTACCCTGTAAATCCTTGCATTGTTATACACGGTGTGGTAATTCTAATTAAATATTTGCTTCCCCAACTAAACCATCAGTTCCTTGGGGGTGACATCTAGCACTTGGTAAATGTATTTGTCTAGTCCAATTAAATAGTGGGTGGGTCTGAAGCCCTGAAGATGAGCTACACTTGAGAATGAAAGATTTGGGAGTCATCAGAATATAGATAGTAGTTAAAACCAGGCATAGTCAGTATGCTCTTACGTAAGTGTGTATCTTTAAAAGAGAAGAAGGCTTATAGCGGAATCCTGGAGAGCACCGATATTTAAGAGACAAATTAGAAAAGAGCATTAGAATGATGTTTTCAGAAGGGTAGGAAGAGAAAACTAGGGGAAAGAATGTTTCAGATGTTAAGGGTGTTACGAAGCAATCACTGTTAACCAGTGATAAATGCAACAGAAAGTCAAGTCCCTTTTGGACTTAGCAGCTAGAATCTCAGTGGTCACCTTTGCCAGAGAGCATTTCAGTGGAGTGGTGACAGCATAAAGCACGGTAAATTCAGGGCAGGGTCTTTCAACCTCCGCGTCATTGACATTTTGAGCTGAATAATTCTTTGTTGTAGGGGGCTGTCCTGTGGGGCAGTGTTTAGCAGCATCTCTGGCCTCTAGACATGGGTAACTTCTCCCCCATCCTCCCAGTTGTGCCAACCAAAGGTGTCTTAAGACATTACCATTGTCCGCTTGGGAGCAAAATTATCTCCAGCTGAGAAGCACCAGAGAGGTGGAAATTGAGTGGGAAAGTGAAAAAGTGGAGACATTGGAAATACACTATTTTTAATAAAGGCATGAGAGCTGGAGAAAGAGTCAGAAAGGGTTGTAAGTGCTGGGCATGGTTGTCTTCTGTCAGCATTTCCCAAATACGTTTGCACTCCCTCTTTAGCCCTGGGAGCGTGGGGAAGCTGTTAGGCCCGTTGCCCATGCACCCGGCAGCTGAAGACAACTATGGTTACGACGCCTGCGCCGTGCTCTGCTTGCCCTGTGTCCCCAACATCTTGGTGATTGCCACTGAGTCCGGAATGCTCTACCACTGTGTCGTGCTGGAAGGGGAGGAAGAAGACGACCAAACAGTAAGTCGGGCTGGTGTGGGCATGTGTGTGCCTCCAGCGCCTGCTGTAGTTCCCAGACCAGTGTGAATGCTCATCCATGACAAACTGTAGTTTGTATCTGGCACTTATGTGTGTTTTGGAAATGGAACACTTTAATTGAAGCCCATTTAAAAACTCAATTGCAAGAAGTTAGAAGGTGCCCAACTTACTTGGCGCAGCAACCTGCATATTTCTTTCTAAACTCTAAATTGCCCTCCTTGGTGACAGTTACAAAGAACCTTTGAATCACTGAATTGGCTCTTCTTGAAACTTGTTTATTTACATCTTCCTAAAAGATGAGAGGCTTTTTTTTTCTCTTTTAAGAATAATAAGGCACTGTTAGAATAGGGGGTGGAATTAAGAAGAATTTGAAAGCAGTATTTGATCTGGCTTTTTGCTTCAGTTTTTAATTGTGTACATTTCCAAATGAACATGAAAGACTAAAAATCACAGTGCTTTTTTTTTTTTTTAACAGTCAGAAAAGTCCTGGGATTCCAGGGCAGACCTCATTCCTTCTCTGTATGTGTTTGAGTGTGTTGAGTTGGAGCTTGCTCTGAAACTGGCGTCTGGAGAGGATGATCCCTTTGATTCTGACTTTTCTTGTCCAATTAAACTTCACAGAGGTAAAGTATTCTCTAAATTCAGTCCTTTTATCCCATTATACTTACACTGTCACAGACTATTCCTGTGTAATTTATTTTTTCTGTGGTTCCAGCCTTTAAAAAATGGACTGGGTTCTTTTGGCCTTTTAGTCACAACATTACCCTTTAGGTCCAATAAAGACTGAACAGATTTCCCAAGTTTTAAGATCGTGGTCCTCAGTCTGGATCCACCCAGATTTATAATAGTGAATTTTTCCTGATCCAGTCAAAAGTAGATTTCATGATTCAAATTCTTAAATGTATGCAAACTTTAATAAACTTTTAAAATAACTTTAACAATAAAATTATAATATACTGGTATTAAGCTATCTCTTTAAAATACCTTTTTTCATTTTAAAACATATTATCTTAGACCCAGTTGAATGTTTCCTTTTTGATCTTTTTTCCTTTTGTTTTAATTTACTTGGGTTGACACCCGGTCCTTCTGGCTAGTTATCTCTGTTCATCTAGGGAGCTCCTGGATAAATGCTGAGACAGTCAAAGAATGTGTTGTCCAGATTCTGAGTGGCTGCGTGGAAGGAGTCTGGGACTAGGAGTCTGGAGTGTCCTGGGTTTGGGTACAGCTCTGACATGAATAGAAACTCTGCAGTATTGGGCATCTGCTCAGCCTCACTCATCTTCAGTTTTCTCTCCTAAAAACAATAGGGATAATATCAGATGATCTCTAAGGTCCTTTCTGACATAAAAATGCTGTAATCCGATTTGCTTCTCAACCCTTTTTCAGAGTCTCCTCTAGGATTTAGTCTTCTTCCCCGTGAAGGATGAGGAATAAAAGCTTACTCAGTCTGGAACCATTTGGGGCGCCCATCATTTTCCTCTGGTGCAGAGTCAGTCTTGTAGCAGCCTGGCCTAGTCTGCTTACAGTCCTATTAGCTAGTTTGCCTAGGATTGGTAATGATGGCTTCCACTCTGTACTAAAGTATAGCCGGAACATTTAAGGCGGTGGGAGTCCTTTTATAATAAACCAGCAAAGGGAACTCATTGGGCATGTGGAATTGAACAGAACTCTGTTTTATAGATGAGATTGAGACACAGTGAGGTAAAGTGACATAAACTAATTGGTTTCCTTAAGATACATACATCTTTGGGAAATCTTAATTGTTGGGTTTTTTTATCTTGATTCTTCAGGTAAGAAATAAAAGTTTGTTAGTTTCACCTATGAAAATGTTAACTCACTCAAATTTTACTTAAGGCATATTACAATCCCTGACACATACCCAGAGTCTTAATGTCATAAATGAATGGTTTCCTTAGAACCTGTCGGGTGTCTAGCACACTTCCTATTTCAGTTACTGATATTGCCCTTTTTCATAATAGATTTCTGTCACATCCTAATACTAAGATTTTCCTGTTGACTTAAGCACCATAAACACATTTTGAGAAGCCATTGTAAACAATGAGAGACATAGTGAGGTGGTTTCAGCCTTAAATTCAGTCTCGTCTGTGGGCAGTTGAAAAGAGGCTTCAGTACTTTATTGTTCTTGGAGATTTTTTTTTAACTTTTTATAGTTTAATTGCTGTTTTCAGAGGTGCTATGCAGAGCCTCAACATATAAAACAGATTAAAAAAATAATACTTTATATCATCTACTTACTGTAAAGTCATCAGTAAGAAAGTGAGGCTGTTAGAAGAAAATTTTGGTGTAGGGGCTTATGGTGACAGCTGCCATTTTATATCAGCTTTAGTATATACATTATTTCTGTATCTTGTTTTAGTTGTTTAATCCTGAGTCACAGATAAATATTTATAAATAATGTAAGTATTCAAGAGTTCATCTTTTAGTTTCAGGATAGTCTTACTGATAACTAGGGCTCCAAAGATACAGAAATTTTCATTAAAATTAGGTAACAACTGCTTATATTTCTTGGTATAAATATAAATGTAAAAACTGTATCTAAAACTTAAACTTAAAAAACTACCTGTAAAAAAACAAAAAAAGAACAAAAAAAGCAAAAAGAAAAAAACTACCTGTAAGTCAGCATTATCAAGACAAGTAAAACTCGACATTTCACACCTGACAGTATTGCTGTACCAGGACTGTTCACTGAGCAGTTATGCTGAGGACTTTTTAGTGCCTGTGCTGTCGGAGCGAGCTGACTTCAACAATTTCACGTAAGATGTGTGCAAGCTTAGGTTTCCTGCAGAGTGTTAACCTTTCTTAATCACCGTTTTATTTTGAAGAACTGTAAATAAATGCACAGGATTGGGCAGAACGGCATAAGTGAGCTGCCTGACAGCAGGTGTTTAGTTCAGTGAACTCTGTGTTAATATTTAGAAAATAACATATTTGAATTGTTTATTAATTATATTTTCAAAATATTTAAAATATATTTTAAAATTGAATTCAAATTTCAAAATTCTAAAACTCTGACATAGTGCCATAGTGTGAAGGTCCCGTGGACCTTCCATCACTTCCATCAACAAATGTGTTTGTGGCCTGCTCAGGTGAATTCTTTCAGTTTTCTCATGGCTGCCTTTATATCATTACTGATTCCATTTGCAGATCCCAAGTGTCCCTCAAGATACCACTGTACTCATGAAGCTGGTGTGCATAGTGTTGGGCTCACTTGGATTCATAAACTTCACAAATTTCTTGGATCAGGTGAGTTTTTTGTGCTTTTCAGTATGTTTCACAGATTCTATCAAAAAGTAGTTGGGAATAGAAAAATAATAGAGCAAATAAATGACACCAAAAGAGAGTCCTTTGAAAAGATCAACAACATTGACAAACCTATAGGTAGACTGACCAAGACATGAGAAAGACTCAGATTACTACAGTTGGAAATGAAAGAGGGGATGTTCCTGCTGATCTTACAGAAATGTGACAGCTTATAAGGGAATACAATGAACAACTATATGTCACTTAGATAATCTAGATGAGATGGATAGATTCCTAGTAAGACATAAATTACCAAAACTGACTCAAGAAGAAATAAAAAATTTGAATAGACTTACAACAAGTAAAGAGATTGAATCAATAATCGAAAACTACCCAAAAGGAGAAGTTCAGGACAATATAATTTCACATTTAAAGAATTAATATCAGTTCTTCACAAATTCTTACAAAAAATAGAAGAGGAAACACTTCCCTGCTCACTCTTTTGAGGCTAGTAATACCCTGATACCAAAACTAGACAAATACATTCAAGAAAGATAAACCAGAGATAAGTATCTTTTATAAATATAGATGCATAAAATCCTAAACAGAATACTAGCAAATGAAATCCAGCAACATAAAAAGAGCATACAGCATGATTTAGGGATGTGAGGTTAGTTTAACACTGAGAAATTTAATTGATATATTATACCACATCAGGAGAATAAAGGACAGAAACCATATGATTATCTCATTAGACAGAAAAAACATTTTTAAAAAATCCAACAGCCTTCCATGTTAAAAACACTCAACAAACTAGTAACAGTAATAGAAAAGAACTTCTTCAAACTGAGAAAGGGCATCTATGAAAAGACTACAGCTTTTTTTTTTTTTTTTGGTAAGATTCCATATATGAGTGATATGGTATTTTTCTTTCTCTTTCTGGCTTGCTTCATTTAGAATGACAATCTCCAGGTCCATCCATGTTGCTTCAAATGGCATTATTTTATACTTTTTCATGGCTGAGTAGTATTCCATTATATAAATATACCACAACTTCTTTATCTAGTCATCTGTCAATGGACATTCAGTTTGCTTCCATGTCTTGGCTATTGTAAATAATGCTGCTGTGAATACTGGGGTGCATGTATGTTTTTGAATTAGAGTTCCCTCCAGTTATATGCCCAAGAGTGGGATTGCTGGATCATAAAGTAAGTCTATTTTTAGTTTTTTAAGGAATCTCCATACTGTTTTCCATAATGGCTGCACCAAACTGTATTCCCACCAGCAGTGTAGAAGGGTTCCCTTTCCTCCCCACATCCTCTCCAGCATTTATGGTTTGTGGACATTTGAATGATGGCCCTTCTGACTGGTGTGAGGTGATACCTCATTGTAATTTTGATTTGCATTTCTTTGATAATTACCAATAATGAGCATTTTTTTCATGTGCCTATTGGCCATTTGTATGTCTTCATTGGAAAATTACTTGTTTAGGTCTTCTGTCCATTTTTGGATTGGGTTGTTTGTTTTTTTCCTAATTAACTTGTATGAGCTGTTTATGTATTCTGGAAATTAAACTTTTGTTAGTCACATCATTTGCAAATATTTTCTCCCATTCCATAGGTTGTCTTTCTATTTTGCTTATGGTTTCCTTTGCAGTGCAAAAAGCTTATAAGTTTAATTAGGTTTTATTGTTTATTTTTGCTTTTATTTCTATTGCCTGGGTAGACTGTCCTAGGAGAATGTTGCTAAGATTTATGGCAGATAATATTTTGCCTATGTTTTCTTCTGGGAGGTTTATAGTATCTTCTCTTATGTTCAAGTCTGTAAGCCATTTTGAGCTTATTTTGTGTATTTTGTGTATGGTGTGAGAGAGGGTTCTAACTTCATTGATTTACATGCTGCTGTCCAGTTATCACGACACTACTTGAAGAGGCTGTCTCTTCTCCATTGTATATTCTTGCCTCCTTTGTTGAAGATTAATTGACCATAGATCTGTGGGTTAATTTCTGGGCTTTCTCTTCTGTTCCATTGATCCATATGTCTTTTTATGCCAATACCACGCTGTTTTGATTACTGCAGCTCTGTAGCATTGTTTGAAGTCTGGGAGGGTTATTCCTCCAGCTTCATTCTTTTTCTTCAGTATTGCTTTGGCAGTTCTGGGTCTTTTGTGATTCCATATAAATTTTAGGATTATTTGTTCTAGTTCTTTGAAAAATGTTATGGGTAATTTGATAGGAATCACAATAAATCTGTAGATTGCCTTGGGCAGTATGGCCATTTGAACGATACTGATTCTTCCAATCCAAGAGCATGGGATATCTTTCCGTTTCTTTAAGTCATCTTAAATTTCCTTAATTAATGTTTTATAGTTATCTGCATGTGAGTCTTTCACCTCCTTGGTCAGGTTTATTCCTAGGTATTTTATTATTTTGGCTGCGATTTTGAAAGGGATTGTTTCTTTACCTTCTTTTCCTGCTCTTTCACTGTTAGTATAAAGAAATGCAATTCATTTCTGTATGTTAATCTTGTATCCTGCCACCTGCCAAATTCTTCTACAGCTGTAGTAGCTTTTTTGTGGAACTTTTAGGGTTTTCTATACATCTTCCCCAGTGAAGCCATCTGGTCCTGGACTTTTGTTTGCAGAGAGGTTTTTTATTGCTGATTCTACTTCATTTCTAGA